TGTTTAATGAATGTGGAAACATTGTTAATCACCAGAACTATCTTAGATGAGCAAAATAACTAGTTGCAAAGGAATTTGGATTCGTGATTTTGTGAACATATCGAACCTGATCTAAAATGCATGTTTATGTTGTTAGAATTTGCAAAGGAATTTGGAATTCTAGAATCTTATCATCGTTAATCTCTGCGACGGAAGTCGATTGGTTTTACATTAGTGTTTCGAGTTCTAGAACGGTTTTAATAATTATTCCTTTCAGTTCGTAGTCTGCGATTTATGTCAACCTACGAATTTCCCATTGCCTAGCGTCTTGTCTTTTGATTTTAAGAACCTACAATCCGCACCTGATATCATTACTTTCGTTGTAATTTTATTTTCATTTCATTATTGATTGCTTAGCTTTATTTGAATCTAAAATCTGTTGAGTGATAGCATTAAGTCCTTGTGGATTCGATCCCTAAAGACTACAGTGATCTCTTAATTTGAGAGAGTAGCTTTAAAGGTTAATTTGAGCATATCACCAATTTTTCAGGATTCACTTTGGCCTGAAAGGTATGATCGAGGGTCGTGCGAGTATTGTCTTCAGCTTTCTTCTTATCCACTTCGGAAGATTAAATCAAACCGAAGTATCAAAGGAGTGGTGATCAGCCACTTATTTTATTTATTGTGCTTGCTTTTTTTTTGAATCGAATGTTTGGCCAGAATATCGACTCAGCAAGATGCATTTGCATAAGAAAACGTGACTCTATATGCCGAGCTGATTTTCCAAAATATAAATTTATTAGATTTACAGCTGCACCCGGAGGTTGCCTATGTACCCGAATTGGGATCAAGCCGTTCATAGTTCATTACAAGTATTGAATGAGTGGTATCACTCAGGGGCTAAGCCTGGTTTTATTGAAAAGAAAAAAAAAATAGCTAAGACTCGTTGTCGAATCTTTTTCGCTTATTTAACGTCTTCGAGTGCTTTTGCCGTGGAGAGTCGCACTTTGCGCTCGCTGATGAAGCAAGATCTTGCCATCTGCTGATCCCCGTGAAGCGTAAAAACTCCGGCCAAAGTGATGAATTTCATACATTGATGATAAGTCGACACGATTGCTTTCATCTCGTGGATCCAAGGTGTGCCAAGTATGGCATTGTAAATTGCTGGTTTGTCCATTACCATAAATTTAACGATTTTTGTCACTCCGCCGACATAAACCGTGAGTCGTATGGTGCCGAGGCTGAAGAAAGATTCACTGGCAAAGCCAGTTAAAGGCTTTGGTGCCGCCTTGATGTCTTTGTCCTGGAACCCCATCTTAGTCAATGTATCTTTAAAGATGATGTTGACCGTGCTGGCGGTATCCACCAAGATTTTGGCCAATTCGCTGTCGTGGATATGTAGTTCGACCACCAGTGGGTCGTTATGCGGGGTGTGTAACCCATGCATATCCTTCGATGTGAGGGTGATCGTGGGGTGATAGGCCACAGGGCGAGGGAATTTTCGCGACGCGACTGCTTTACGTTCATATTCTGTGATGGCATGGACCGAGTCATCGCTGTCGGGGAGTCCTCCCATGATCATGTTGACTCGTCGCTTTGGTGGAGGGGGTGGATTTTCGTGTTCTCCTTCGTCGTTCTGACGCTCTGCTCCTTTCTCCTTCTCCTTTTCTTCAGGCCTTCTTTCGGGCGTGCAACTTCGGCACCTTCCTCCAGAATTGCCTCGACTGCTGCTTTTTCCTAGATCCCTGCGATCCCGAGTGGAGGTGGCCTGACGCGAGTCCTTGGGGTTTGAACTGCGTGAATAGGAGCTTTTACTCCGGGATCGATCGCCTTCGATGTTGATTTTGCCTTTTTTGTATTGTTCATACAGTGTATTTTGGAGGTGTCGACAGGCTGAAGTAGCGTGCCCCATCTGCACGTGAAAGGAGCAGTATAGATCGTCCCTGTCGCTCGTGCTCCTCGGGGGATCTCCCAGGGTCCATTGGTTTCAGGGCTTTTCTTCAGATGCGACAACGGCGTGGGAGGACGGCTTGCTTTTGGTTGCGGGCTCCTTGTCTTTCGAAGCATTCATGATGCCATATTTCTTAGCATAGATAATTTTCTCCTCTTCTATTCGTATGAAGATTTGGGCTCGGTGGATGGCGTCTTCTATGGTTTCCCTCGGGTTTTTGTGCAGATCTTTCTTGAGCTGGGATTCGTACCATAGGCCGTTCATGAGTGCCTCGATGGCCAAAGCTTGCGGGATTTGCCCATACGCTGCGGTGGCGTTCTTGAATTTCTCGATGAATTTGCAGAGTGGTTGGTCACGTTCTTGTACTAGAGTGAACAGGTTGACCGTCCTCTTCGTGATGAACATGGAATGATGTTTTATGAAGGCGTGGGTCAGATCTTTGAAGGATTTGATCGAGGCTGGAGGTAGGTTAGAGAACCACTTCAAAGCATCCTTGTTGAGATGTTCTACAAAGGTTTGGCAGTGGTTGGCTTCGCGTTCGATGTCGGTCTCGAATTGTTGCCTCTTCATGGCGACGTTGAATCCGGTCAACCATAGGTTAGGATCTTCCATCCCGTTGTAGTATGGGAGCTTTAGTTTTATCGCCTCGCCGAGTCGTACATTGGTGATCCGCGGGGCGAATGGGTTGCGTTCGGCATCGGAGAGAATAGCTGAGATCTTCGGTGCCGAGCTGGTAGCCCGATGGATTTGGGATCCGATCGCGTTTATTCGTTGGTGAAGCCTTGCGATTTTGGAATTCAGTTCGCCAGATGGCTACTCATCGTCCGCCGTCGTGCCCCTGATGTTGTTTTGCTCCGGTGTCTCGAAGATCAAACGTCGTCCGATTGGCACTGATCTCGCAGTGGTCGCGGCTGCGAAGGCGCTGAGTTGCTCATCGTACTTGGCTTGCTGGGCCTGGAGGGTGTCTAGTTTGGACACCAAGTCCTGCGTGAGTGGCTGCATGGCGGCCTGGATAGCTGCTGCGAGGTCAGCGGCCTGGAGGGGAGCTGGGGGTGCTCCCGTGGGTGGATTCGCGGTAGTGACGTTTGTATGTTCACCGAGAGCAGATGTCTCGGTGTGAGTGGTGTCATCGTCGTTGCGGATGAGATCGCTATTATCGACGGGGAGGCTCATCGCTTCGGCGTTCTTGCTTAGTATTTAAGAATTTATTCTCCTAGTCCCCACAGACGGCGCCAACTGTTGAACCGGAAAATCACCACTAGGGTTTGATTAACAGCTGTGGGTTTCAGAGAATAAAGTCTTTTTATTAGTAGCAAGTAAACGAAACGATTACAAAGAAAGGTATAACCAAGAGGTTATGCCGAAGTGAAAAGAATGCTTGCGAAGTAAACTAGAAAGCGTTGGAGTCTCTGGTTTTAGCTCTGCTGCTCTCTAGAATGTATGAGTTGTCTTCTTGGCTTCGAGGTCCTCTTTATTTATAAAGGATAGGAGGTCGGTCACTCCAAACTCCTTTTCCTTTTTGTCTTTTGTGTATATTTCCATATATATGATATGGAAATATCCTTTATTCTCCGAGGAATAAAAAAATTCTCTTTTATCTTTTGAGTTAGTCCGATGTTTCCGATCTTCAAAAGTTATCCTCAAGAGATTTCTTGAGCTAGGTCGGCGCGGTCTTCCTGATCTTGATGGATTTAGGTTATTGAGAAAGAATGCCTTTTAAGAAATGTGCTTATTTCCCCTCTAATATATATATATATATATATGATTCATAGATTTATAATAATACATGTAATCATATTGAAATGGACACTAGTTAATACATTCAAATGGACACTAGTAAAATGATCTTACGAGTAAGATGATAAACAGAACAACCCAATTCTTTTACAATATCATTTTCTCAAACAAAGATATAGGAACACCGAAGAGAACTTAGCTTATTTTCCATAACGTGGCAAGAGATTTCTTTGACGATATGCGATGGTCAGACGATAGCGCAAAAACGTGAATCCACAATCCGCACATGCTGGTCGCTACTTCTTCAAATCACCCGTCAAGAGATCTCTTATCCACGACCACTTATCCACTTCTTAAGATTGCACAGAAACTCAAAGCATACTCCTTGTTTTCATATTCACGAGTATAAACTATATAAACAGCCTAGAGTAATCAGCATTCAATTCATGAAAGTGAACCAATGTAATTCACATACATGAACCAATAGATTGCAAAATCTACTAAGTTCACTAGTAATTTCGAGTTTTCAGAAAAATAATTTATGTTCTAAATCAAGAAATAAGAATAACAATAGAGTGCAAAATCTAAAAAATTTATATCAATAGCTAAGAAAAATCAGCTATTAATTTGTGAAAAGTGAATTGATTCAATTCAGATACAGGAATCAATAAAGTGCAAAATCTAAAAAATTTACTATAATTTCGAGAGCCGAGAAGAAACAAAAACAATTTAGCTTTACTGGACAATTATCTTTACCGTTTAGTTGATTATGTCCACTACCACTCGTCCACTTCATGTTTTACTCGCGCATGGATACATTATAGTTAGTAACACTAACACCACCAGAAGCCAAAGCTTTCGCTCCCGCCGACTAACGCTTGCATCTCGGAGCCTGAATTCCTACAATGGAATGTAACCTATATCGGAGGTTGAAAACATCGACGGCGGATTGACACAGGATTCGAAAAATTTAAGATTCACCGCCTGCGACCATCCGCCGGCAATGGCATCCCCTAGGGCGAAGGCCTTCTAGTTAACGAAAAGTTATTTGATACAACGAATTAAGCATTGGTGGTCTGAAAATATATGGTGGGACGATTTGGTAGTGACACGGGCCACACGGCAGTTTGGCTCCAATACCCAACGGCAAAAAAATTACTGTGGTGATGCGGTAACTCTGGAAAAGAATATTTCTGGTAATTACTTTAATATAGAAAGAGCAAAAGTATGCAAAAGTGTTTTGCGTAGTCTAATTCCGTATTAAAGTGAGAAAGGGCCCTCTCGCATAATAAACGAGTTTATTTGAGCACGAATGGTGACGTGGAAATCAGACGTAAATATTCCAATACCCGCGCAACATCTGGGGGAAAAACTGAAACGCAAGTGTTAAGTGTATTTGATCGTCGCTTTCCTTTTTACTCCGTCTTCTACATTTTCTAATCCAATTCCCGAGGAAGAAGAATCCTTTACGTGACTCTTCCAATTTCCGAGAAGCCAGAAACAAAAAAACAAAAAAAAACCCTTTTTGATCTCCTCTCGCCGGCGGCGGCGAGTTAATTCTTATATATATATATATATGGCAACTCAGTCGGCGGAGGTTTCTAGAGATACGGTGGTATCAATGGCGGTTTCGACGGCGTTTCCTGGTTTCAAATTCTCTCCGACGGACATCGAGCTGATCTCGTATTACTTGAAACGGAAGATGGATGGCTTAGAGAGATCTGTTGAGATTATACCTGAGGTCGACATTTACAACTTCGAGCCCTGGGATTTGCCTGGTTCGTTTTCCCCCAATTTCAAGTTTCTTTTTCTTCTCTTTGTTTTCTCTATTTCATTACAAAGTTTGGGTATGAACAAAAAAAAGCTTGAATTTTACTTTACTGGGTCACGAATTTGAAATTGATTAAAGCATATTATGAGCTCTCTTTAATTACCCATGTGGAAAATTCCATTGAATTTCGAAACCCATGTGGCTTTGGAGGATTTTGTTTTGAAATTTTGGTAACTTTCATTTTCATGTACTATTGTTTTCTAGGGATTTTTTTGTGTATATGATCGGAATCTGGTATGAAGTTACTTCATTTTCATGTCTCTGAATCTGATTGAATCTCTATGTTGACTAGTTTCCGCCTATTTTGTGGAATCAAATGTAGTTAGGTCATTGAGGATGTCAAAAAGTTCAAGAATATAATTAACTTCTTGAGGCAAATTTATTGAATCTTAAACCGAGTAGCAAAACTTTAGATTGGTATGAAGATGTGATTTCCTGGCTTTGTCTAATTTGCAAATTAGTTTTAAATGCATCAAAGTATAAGAAATGCATTTGGGTTTGTACAATTGGACAAACCAAACCTTTTGATGTCTGTCACTTGATTTGCTCCTACTTGTAGTTAACTCTTTTGTGGGTTGAAACGCTACCAAAACCGCTCTTTACATTTGTAAGTATGTATTCATTTACATTTTGCATAAACAAGTTCAGGACTTATAGACAATTAAGGTACTTTGTTGGCTTTTTGCTCAACGAAATCTTTGTTGTCCATTGTCTGAGAAAAAAGTTTATGTTTCTTTCACTTCTTTGAAAAAAACTAACAAGTTCTTGTTTTTTCTCGCAGATAAATCAGTCGTTAAATCTGACAGCGAATGGTTCTTCTTCTGTGCTCGTGGTAAGAAGTATCCACACGGCTCACAGAACAGAAGAGCAACAAAGATGGGATACTGGAAAGCCACAGGGAAAGAGCGTAACGTGAAGTCTGGTTCCGAGGTCATCGGAACAAAGAGGACGCTCGTGTTCCACATTGGTCGTGCGCCGAAAGGTGGAAGAACCGAATGGAGTATGCATGAGTACTGTATGATTGGAGTCTCACTGGTAAAACTATTTGACTGATTCTCGAAAGTTTTCTTGTATATTGGCTTATGTTTATTTAACTTTTTGATAGGATGCTCTGGTTATTTGCCGGCTTAGGAAGAATGCAGAATTTCAAGGAGCTACGATTCAAAAGCCCGACAAGAACGCAAACTCGCAGAACGAAACCATTTCAGAAAGTATCTCTGACTGGGAAAATATGGTTGATTTTTACTTATCAAATGAATCAGGGCATGAATTACTTAGTGAAATAGCAGAATCTTCACAATCTTCACAAAATCCACAGGTTTGTTTCTACACTATTTTATTTAGTCCTTTCACCAAATGGATGATGTCTAATTGTCTATATAAGTTCACGTAAAACTCGTTGTTTCGAGAAAACTCTATCAAAATTAAATTACGGTTTTGGTCGGGTCAGGTATGTGGTAGTTCGGGAATTAAAATTTTTACGGAAATTAACGGTAAGATTTTTGTTTTTTTTTTCCCTTCAAATTTCGATTAAAGTCAGGTAAATTTGGTTAGCTTGGTTCTTCGGTTCAAAAGTTCCGATATATATTTAATAAAATTGGTATAACTCGATATAATGCGGTATGGTTCAGTATATCTTTGTTTAGGAAAAAGAAGAAAATATGTTTAACTGATCGGTTCTGTCGAACTAAACCGAACTGAAGTAATAACCCTATCAATTTTGAATGATGTGATCGGTTTAACCTAACTAACCGAACCATAACGGAATATGACATTCAGTACGGTTTGGTTCGAAAACTTCGGTTCGGGTAAAAGTCGCAGGCCTTATTTCTGATTTCTTTTATGTGTTTTCGAATGTTTCCAGGTTCCTAGTGAAGAAGATTTCTATGCGGATATCTTGAGGGATGACATCGTGAAGCTAGATGATTCAACTGTCTTCGGTAATACATTGGTCGATGTTCCGAGGCTTCAAACAGAGTCTACAACCACAAGAGTACTGCCTTTACCAAGCATGGTAGACAAACAAATGCAATCACTTCTACAAAGACTTCCATTGCAGAATGACATTGGTGAAGAAAATAACATATCAATGTCGAGTTGCTTTATCGGTATCTATTCGATTAAGTCGATAAACCGAGCAAGGTGGGACGTTGTTGCTTGGGTACTGGTTATGATAGCTGTGCTGGTGTTTTATCTGGTGTGAGATAGCAAAGTAAGACATCTTCTGAACAGTTTGCTTAGTTCTGTGACATCTGTCTTAGTGTTGAGAGAAGATAATGTTGTTAGGCTTAGTTTATGTTATCCTGCTATATATATATATATATAAATTTGTATGGTAGCATATGTGTACTTAAGTGAATGAACCTGATGAGGAGGTTCTTAAGAGATAATTCTGTTTCAGGTAGATTTTCTTATTTTTATAAATTCATTGACTACAAGATTTTAAAAGATATTAATTAAAATTTTAAAATATTTTTTTGGATAAAAATATAAATATGATAATTAAATAAAAAAATATATATTAAAATATATAATAATTTATTTAATTTTTATTTTTGGTCTGTAAGTATGTACAAGTATAATTTTTTATAAACATAATTAGTTGTAATATTTAAGTATTAATTAATTTTTTTATATATTATGTAAATGTTATGTTTTTATACATATATAATTTTAGTTTCAACAACAATCACATAAACGTTTCATATCGTGTTATATCTTTGAAAAAAAATTTATTTTTCTTAGCATTTACAGTAATATATAATTGCAAATATAAAAGTTATATTAAATAATAATTAAATTTTTATAATATGTTTGAATATTATCTATATAATGCTTTCTTTTTCTCTTTACATAATATAATCTTGCTAATATATATTTTAAGTATACATTTTTTCTTGATCTATTGTTAATTAAACCAAAATGATTTCTACCATATTTATTTATCCTAAGAGCGGATAGATAGTTGGCCCGCACGATAAATATTTTTAAAAAATATAAATTCTCTAAAAACTAAAATTAAAATAAGAGTGTAATTGGGGTTAACAAAATGTATGCACGACAAGTTTGCATTCGAATTTGATTTTTGCATAATTAATATTTATATTTATACACATATTTATAAGAAAATCGAATATGACTTTTATGTGTTAAAACAAAATAATAAAAGTATATGTTTTGTAATATATATTTTTATAATGTATGGTTGATTTTTTAAATATATTTATTCATGTAGGTATGAGTTAGAAATAAGTGAATTGTAATATTAAGGTGTTGGTAAGTTTTTCTGGTATTTTTTACAAATATTATGTTTTTACACGTGCAGTTATTGGCATTTAACAACAATCATAAAAACCGTTTCTATCGTTTTGTATTTAATCAAAGTTTCTTATTTTTCAGCGTTTGATGATATATGGTTTCTCAATAAAAATATAATAGAAATTTATTATAAAATTTGTGAAATTATATTTTATAAAATTCTCTGGTAACTCTCCGCTAATTTATTTGTCAAATTTTTTATAATCTGCAACCGTTCACTTCTACAAACTCTCTGGCTTAAACCAATCGGATCTAAATATATATATATGTATGATTTAAAGAGTAAAATAATATATTTAATATTTAATTATTATTAAAATTAAGAGTTGACTTGTTCCTAACTTTACTATATTTGTTAATATAAAATATAATGGAGCACAACATATACAAAACTTGATTCATGAAATAATGTTTTAGTATGTTAGAAAAAATATATGCATTAAAGAATTAATATGTAAAAGATAATATTTTGAAATATTTTAAATAAAAACTTAAAATCGATCAAAATTATTCTTATTTATTTTTTTCTCTTCTTTGAGTCATACTTTTTTTTAACATTTACTAATATATTAAACATTAAGACCATATCCACTTTATTTTTCTATTTTTTTTTCTCTAAAATATAAGTGGACTTCATAGTTTGATTTTATATGGTGTTATCTTTTTCTCTATAACTGGACGAAAAAGAAAAAAAAAACAACCTTTCTTTTTCTTTTAAATTAGAAGACTAAAAATAAATATGGGTTGAAAATAATTTAAACCCAAAAATATAGCATGAGATTTTTACATAAAATCAAAGTCGTAGATTTATTTTTACTTTTACTTCTATTTTCTATTCATATATATTGTATTATGATATAAAAAAAAGTTAGCTAAAAGGATACTTATAATTTATGTTTATATCTGTTTATTTTTTTGTTTTATTTATAATTTCGAATTCTTGCAATATAATGAGAATTCTTTTATATATGATATAATTTTTTCTTATTTAAAATAAGATTTATTTAGTTTTAACTTAACCAGTCAAAATATTTCGTTTATTTTAGGAAATTTGCCATGTCACATTTATGAGGTGGCATTGTGTTTTGCACTAACTTTTACTAATGTGATGACACATCAGATTTGTTCATTAAACATGCTTCTCAAGTAATAGTTAAAATAGCTAGAGGAAATCTTGAATTGGATTCTAGAATAATAAATTAATTAGGTAATAATCTGCATTCTATTCTATGCGGAATGAAATAATTATTATTTATTTAAATTTAGTATAATTTTAAAAGTTATATAATATAATATAATTAAATTGTAAAATTTTATATAATTTTATCTAATATATTATTTGTGAAGTCAGAAACGCACCACTGCGCTTTTTAGAGGGGTTGTGTGCCTTCTACCTCTCGTGGGAATATTCGGATCTAAAACCGATTGGTTTGGCTTGGTTCGTATTTAAAAATCGATTATATTAATTTAAATCTTATACCGGTTCTCAGATGATGTATCAGTTGGGCTTTTTGAAATTGGTGTCTAATGGACCATTTTAAAAAATCGGTTACCTCTCAAAACTATATTATAAAACGAAAACTCTAAAATTTTAATAGCTATATATACTCGCATATGTCTCATTCATCTAAACAACCGCTTAGGTTTATTTATTTACTAACGTGTAGGTCATAGTTCAGGGTTATGTTTTTGTTTCATGCAGTATGTTTTCTTTCCTACGATTCTAATTTTGTCTACTTGGGTTTTCATTGTGCGTCGGTAACTTGCAAGAGAGGAGAGTTAATTAGGTTTCATCGTTTCGTTTTGCTTATACAGCTTCCAGGCTTATGTCTGCTAATGGCGTGAGTTTAGTTTGCAGAAAAGGTATTGCTGCTTAAACTTTTTTCCACTTAAACTCATCGTGTATATTGATTACAATTAATGCTTTGTTATAAATTTGATTTTGATTTATTTGATATATTGTTTTACCTGTTGATATTGTTTATTGCTTTGACTTTCTTTCGTTTTGGTTATATTAGCGTTATATCGTTTCATTGTGTTAATTATCAAAATTAGACTTGAAGGTCACAAACCCTCAATTTTGATATAATATATACTGTGTTTATTCATATGAGTCTCATTGTTCTAAGCTGATTATATTTATTTTTAACTCTATAGTTATATCTCAATTAATGTTTTGGGGTTGGTCTACGATATTGGTTTCTTTGTGGATTTAGTCTTTATATGAAATTGTCTGTTATTTATTAAATTATCTTAATTTTTTAAATTTTAAGTTCTGATATTATTCTTAGTTTTTTAAGATTTCTTACAGTTGTTTCATCTTATACAGTAAGGAAATTCAGATGACTATCTTGCCTTTCCATCTACCGAGGAACGAGTCCATCATTTTCTCGGAAGATTTTTCATCACCTGGTCATGGAGATTATTTTCAAAAGACTCAGTTTCAGAGTTAGATGGACTACAACAAACACCATCCACAATCGAGGCATCTTCTATATACTGAATTTCCAATTTGGTTTGTTTGGCATAGGGAGTGGCTCTCCCGACGTCGTTGTAGGTCTTGGAGAAATGCGGTAGGACTTTCCTATGTGAAGCCTGAATGTGGTGAGCTCTATCACCTCAGAACATTGTTAGCTGTTGTCAGAGGACCGACGTGCTTCAAAGATATCTGAACAATTAATGGTGTTTTATACTCATCATTCGCTGAAGCCACTGAAGTTTATTTTGGTTTGGGATTAGTCGAGAGACCTTCTCTTACAAATTAACGAATATTGTGATGGTGTTGGGTTTTGGATCTACATGTTTTTTTACTATGTAGTCTGTGACTGGTGTTTTCTATTTTGGTATCCAATATATAAGATTTTAGTTTACTGTCTTATTATTGATGCCATTATCAAGCATGAATTTACCGTATAATTTATACAGTATGGTTATGTGCTGCTTTCGACTTAGATGATTGCGTTTGATGAAAAAGACGAGACCCATCCTATTGGTTTGTTAGAATTTTTGTTGTATTAATTGGTATGTTTAGTTGCATAAGTTTTAAGAGACTGCAAAAATATTATCGTGGGAATGTGGAAATTTAACATGAACTCTAGCGTATGAAATTTTGCCTTCGATAAAGACTCTATGATATTTAAAACTTTTCTTGGGTGGAATGATATTTGCAACACGACTTCAAAAATAGTTTGTGTCATGCAAAATTTCTAGAATATCCTATGATATGTGTTATATATATATATATTTATTAAGATTTGTTCCAATCTTTATCCTTATCGAAATTGTTACTTTTTTGAATATTTATACTTATCGGAATTTCTCTAAAAAATGTTATATATTTATATTAGGGATATCAGTCTTATATTTGTAATGTTTTGGGAAATATACTATAAGTTATAGTGTCGGTAATAATTAATTACTAAACTTTTTGGTGAATATTTATTTCAAACAAAATGTTATGATAATAACGTAGTTGTGTAGAGTATTAGAAAATATCATGTATCATGTCTTATATATATATTAGAGATTTATTCCAGTCTTTATCCTTAACGATATTGTTAATTTCTGCATGTTTGCCATTAACAACAATATTTTACAAAATATTATATATCTGTATTTGAGATATATATCATATATTCATAATATTTTGGAAAATATACTATAATTCATATTGTATGTCATAATTAATTACTTAACTTTTTGGTGATTATTTGCTTGGAAAAAAAGTTTTGATAATAATGTAATTGTTTAGAGTCGTTGGCCTATATAGGATATATATATCTTCCAACTCTGACTATAAGATACAAAAAAACAGGATCAAAAAATTTCACTTTAATTGATAGAGCTTATAGAAAGCCCTAAATTATTAGTTCGATATTTTCAAAG